TAAAAAAATAAATAATTAAAATTTATATATAAATAAAATGTGTAAAATTTATATATAAATAAATTTTTCATATATATAAATATTTATTAATCAAATCACTAAAAATTAAAGATAACAATATCTTAAAATTAAATCACGTAATAAAGGATCACGAAAGAACACTGAAATATAAAAAAAAGGCATAATCGATGGGGTTCTGGACCAAACTCGAATAATGAGTTAAATAGTAAAGATAATCAAATTATAAAATGATTAATTCTATCATAAAAAGAGAAAAATACTTTTTTACATGCGTTCATTCAATATACATTATCAATTAAATTTTTTAAAAATTTAGAGAAAAATTCAGATCACTCATGTTTATTTATAGAAATAATATCCCTTATGTTTTAAAAATAAGTTATTTAAGTTATTTTTAATGAGAGTTTATTAAAATGATATAATATGGATTAAGATTATTTTACATACCACTCTTTCACAATAATTTATACAAAATTTTGATTATTTATATACTATTATTTGTTAAGATTTATTACATTTGTCTTAAATTAATTGTCACTTTTTTACTTTTTCTCCAACTTAAAGATTTAGGGACATTTTATGTATTTAGATATATTACCCTTAAAATAAATAAAAGATGAAGATATGATTTTTTGTGATAAAATAATTAATTAAAGTAAATAAATAATGATAGGGTTAAAGTATTAAAAAATATTTGTCTACTTTAAAAAATAAAAGAAATTAATTTGAAACAAATTCAAAGTAAAAAAATACAGTTATTTTGAAGCAGATAAAGTGTCAAATTTTTATCTAATTTTTAAAAATAATTATATTTTCATTTAAAAAATAATGATAAATCTAAACTACTTACAATAAAAAAATGAATGATTAAATTTTATTTAAATAAAATGTAACAGATTTATGTGTAAATAAATCATTACTCAATATATTATTGATGAAATAAAATCAAAAAAAAAATTCCAACATGCATCTAAATACTTCGGCTAATAACAAAGACTATTTTAGGAAAATATACAGATAAACGAAAACGCTATGTATGAAATAGTAGCACTAACCGTCACCGATCCATCGACTGGCAGAACCGGAGCAGAGAAGTTGTCAGTGAGAAAAAAAAAAATGCAAGGCAAGAAATAATATTGAATGGGATGCAGGATGTGCAGGCTTAGACCAAAACTCTATATTCGGTATTCTTTGCCTCTCTCGCGAACAAAGTAATTAAAGATAAAGTTGAAGTGTAAGAGGCAATACTGGAATTAACTTCAAGGATTAAATTCACTTTAAATTTAGGTTAAGAGTTTAAATTTGAAATTAACACTTAAAAAAATTATTTTTTTAAAATATATTAAACTGAATTGGCTCAGAAACACCATATAACTAGTTTCAAT